GGCTTTTATTTCTTATCTTTAGATCTCAGAGTAAGATCCACTTTCAGATCAATTGCTCATTTTCTCTGTAATGAAACTTTATTATTTTTATTTATTTATTTAAAATCCTATTAGCTAGTTTGCTGTTATGATTGCAGAAAGGACAGAGTGACAGCGGGAGCACTTAATTAATTTTACTTCAGGAATTGATAAGTGAGTAATGTGGATGAACTGAGAAATGCCAGGTGGCACTGGGAATAAGCAGGCGCTCCCAGAGCTGCCAAGTGCACTGACATGAGGCTCTGCTTGCACCAGCTCTGCATTTATCTCTGGGTATTTGGAGGGACAGTTTGCAATTTGTCAGAGGTTAAGACCGAATGACAGGTTGGTAACTAAAGAGATTTGGATGCAAGAACATTTTAGTCACAGATCCATGTAATTTCTGAATTACAGGACAGAAAAGGTACTGGCCAGGAAAGAATTTGGCGGGTCTGGTATCATGGTTGCAGCTGAACTGTAGATATAGACTGGGTATGGGGCCACAAGGTTATCTGGTGTTTCCCCTTTCCCAGGATTCATAAAATATCCCTGAGTTCTGGTAGCTGCAGGACACCTCCTGGGGGACTGTTGGTGCTGGGTGTTCCTGCCTGTATCGCTGTAGCTGCTGCTCGCAGGCTGCCTGCGCTGGATGGTTCTGGGTGCGTCTGCCCTTGCTGAGCAGCAAGTTTGCGTAGCTGGCTGGCTGCTTCCTTGAGCACAGCAGCGGCTCCAAGGTCAGGGTGTTGCTCGGAACAAGAGATGGGTCATATTTGAGCTCTTTTGCTAAGAGAAGAGGTTGGCGAATGCTCACAGGCTCGAGCTACCAGCTGGGCTACCGAGGCAAAGCACGCGCTGTGTTCTGCGCTCTTCATGTGGAAGTGGAAATTCCGAGCTCAGGGAGATGGAAAGACTTGGCGTTGCTGGGGCGATGGGGAAAGAATACAGGTGCATGTTGGAGGCCAGGTTGTGTTTAACTTCCTCATCTTCCCTCCCTTTCTGGAGCTGGAGGTCCTGTAAAAATAACACATTCTTGTTAATGCTATTGGAAATAGAAAGCTATGAGCAACTTCTCAGTATATTTAGCTCATCTCATCTTTAAAGACTTTGAATATGCCGCAGTATTACTGAATTTTTAAGCTATGAAATATCTCATTTTCTCATCTCTTTCTGGAGATGTTAGCTTCCCGTTTACTTGGCATTCATAACTCATTATTGCTTCTTATTTTCCTCTGCCTTATATAGCTTCTCTTTCTTTCTTTGTTTGTTTACTTTCTTTTCTTTTTCTTTCTTTTCCCCAAAGGAGTGATCATCTCTGTTTAATAGTTTCATTTGCTCAGGAATACTCCTGTATGTGTATTTTTACGTTCTCTAAAATTGATCTACATGTAGAAATAGTTTCCTCTAGATTTGCAGCTCTTTATCCACAGATCTTCTTTCAAGGCCAACTTGGGGAATAACCATTCAATTATTTTTTTTTCTGTAATGACTTTTGCTGAAAAATACCAGTGGATACAATTGTTAAGCCACTTGCCAGATGGAAATAAGCTGAAATTACTCATTCATTTCTTATGACAGTACAAGGGCTTTTGTTCACCGTGGGTGCAGACTTGCTATAAATTGGAGATTAAGGCTCAGGTTCAGACGGACTAAAGTTCACGTAAATCTCTGCTTTGTCCAGCTCTAGTAAATAATGTACAAGTAGCTTGTTTCTAGCAAAATACGATCACTGCTGTTTCTCAGAGCAACACGGCATGTTTCCATAACAAAAAGGCAAAATTATTTAAAAAGAAAAAGCAATGAGAAGATACTACGTAGCAAGGAAAGGATAAATAGTATGGCAACTCCATTTTAGACCTTTTTTATCTCTCTTCCATTTGGGTACTTATCATATTCATAACTCAGAGTTGTTAGTGCTCATACTTTATTAAAATTGCTCAGCAATAAAACTGCCTACGTTTGAAAAGAAGGAAGGTAGGCTGTTAATATGAGCTAAGTGTTTTGGCCCAGAGTTAAATGCTTTAACTGCTCCAATAATATTAAATAAAATTTTATGCACTTCTAAAAATCTTATTGTGCTAATTTTAATGTCATTTAGTAGCGGAACTAATGAACAGGTATATAATTTTATTAGTTATTTTGCAGCTGTTAATTTTCAAAAGCCATGTGTGCTAACAGCTTTTTGTGTGTGTAAAAGTGCCAAGTACTGGTGATAGGCTGAAATATTCCAACTGTAATATCTTTGACTTAATTGACATGTATGAATACAGGTGTGAATACATTGATACACAGGTGTATCAAGGAAGGCACCCATTTGAGCTGTACATGTGTTGTATAATGTAAGCTTGAAGTAGAAGAAGTAGAAAACAATCTCTTACATCATGTTGCATCACCTTTTTTCCTTCAACTTTGATAAACAAGTATGTTGTTGCTAACAAAACAATATTCAATTCTAAATAAAACAAAACGTTTGGTACTTAATGTGTAATTTAGAGCCATGTTAGGTTGCCTTTTAAGAGGCCCCTGCGTGTTTTCAAACTACACTCCTACCTTTGGTTTTGGTCTCTTTTTCCCTTTTCCTTTCCTGTCTGCTGGAGCTGGATGGTAAAGAAAAGGAAAATGAAAATATTCTAGAAATGTAACCRGTGTGAGATGATTCATTAGTGGGTGTTTTATTATTTTGATTGATAACTGTTTTTTTAAAAAGGCTCCTTCCACCTATCTGGGGAAGGAAGAATATCGTTTAAGCTATGCAGAATACCATTCTTTAAGGGGAAAAAAAAATTCTTATCCAAACTTTCCACAAGAAAAACAGATGTGCAGTAGAGGATAAACATACTTTTATGAACAAATAGTGCATTAGTGCTACTGGTTACCGTGGGCATGGTGGCCTGAAGTCAGAGGAGAGGAGCTTGGCAGCCCTGCAGGGAATAGGAACCTGGTACTCGGTTCGTTTTAGTTTTGGACCCAATGAATGAGAACTCGTGAGGAATGCATTGGATGTGACTTGGATGCAGCCACACGAGTGTCTGAATTGAGCATTTTTCGTGCTGCCTTTTGTGAATTGGCACAGAGCAAACTTCAAGTCCTTAAGGTCTATGCTTGAGTAGRTTGAACTTTTGAGAACATCTCCCTTGGAGATGGGAGTCTTAATCTAATCACAAAAAGAAACATGTATAGAATGGATGATTTATATGGAAGTGATGTTATTACAGCTCCTCAAGCTTAAGCAGGTTAGAGGAGCCATACTGTAGTATAAAAGTTTTTAACGTCTGGTCTTCTGTGGTTAATACTCTCACAATAGTAAAAAGGGTGCAGTCTGGAAACAGTTGAGGGACAGTAATGAAAAACCTGGTTGCACTACAGTTGAGTAACTCAGTACATGTTTTGGGTTGTGCTCATGCAGCGCTTTGTCCTTGAACTCCTTATTCACAAGACTGTTTCACACGCTTGCTATGGCTGGTCAAATGTGCAAATTACTACTGTAAATAAATTTACCTTTATGTGGCATTAAATTGGGTAGAAGTAGTTCTCAAATCAATGTCTGTAGGCTTCTTGGTGTGTGTTCTGTTGCTGAGAACCCCCTGACTTATTATGTGGAGGAATATTGAGAGGTGTCAGTCAGTCTGCACTGTTCTTGAAAGCCTGTTCTCTGGATGTGCCTGTCATTTGGAGGTCATAGTTATTACTAGATAAAGTTTGAGAAGGAGAAAAAGTTTCAATTAATCCTACCTAGCATTCTTGTCCATCAAACTGTGCTTTGAAATATTTAGATATATAAAATATTTATCAGAGGCTCATATGCTTATCAGTAATTTACTTGCTCATTTACTGAACAGTATTTCTACTATAAAAAGAGGAGTTTTCTGGTAATCGGTCTCCTATGAGAGGCTTGTCTTTCTTGGATATTGCTACAATTTTAGTTCAGCCTATGAGTTAGTAAATTAGTTTTTCACCTCAGATTTGAGTCTGTTTTGGGGAATTCTTGGGACTTATTTTTATGTGAAGTTGGTTTTCACATGGCGTTGGAGACTGTCATGAGACTTGACTGTGGTCTGCTTTCCCRTAGTTAAAGCTGTAATGAATTGGCTTCTGCCATTGAGCTGTGAGATACTACCTGGAAATGCTGAGAACTATTCAATTTCTCAATCTTCTGCTAAGCAATTTACATTTCTCTTGGATTCTTGCTATGTTGCCTAATAAATTGTTATTACCTCTGTTGACATTTTGCAAGCCACAAGACRGAAGAGAATCACACAGATTTTGTGTATTTTTGGCTGTAGCTGGCTGTAGACCAGGCCTTTCTTCAATATTTGTGAAAAGAGCTTGATAATTTTTTAATCTAATTAATACTTTTTATATCAAWTTTTTTAAGGTTTATATGTTTTATATAAAAGTGTTAAATATAAGGCTAGTGTTGCATGTTACTTGAATTATCAATTTAAATATCAAAGTATTTTTGGTTTAGTTTTGTACCGGCATCAGCATAAATAATCTTTCTAAGAACACTGTATGTTTTTAAGAATCTCACCTTAGTATTTATTCTATAATAAAATCTCAGATGATTTATTGGTTTTGCATCAAAAAGTTCAGAATTTTAAACTTTATTATGAATATTTCAACAGAAGGCACTCATGCTTTGAGCTAAYACTAAATCATTGTGGACTGCACTTTTAAAGGTGCTTGGAATAAAGTAGAGCTGAAGAAAAATAGCTTGTGGGTTAAAAATACATAAACATATTTGGTRGTGCTTGGCAAAATTGTCATTGTTTTATGACAGTTTTCATTTCCTATTTCTTCTAATATTATTAAGTCGCTTTATTTGTTTCTTTAAATATTTCAGGATACTTTAAGGAGATGGAATTGCCTTGCCTTGGACTCATTCTTATAGATGCATTATTATGGTTTCCTGACTAAGATACTGTTATGTTTAAATCTTACAGTTGTTATAATGACTCAGAATTTAATAAATGTATGCTTTACAGCTAAAAGGGCACTAGAAGAAACAGAAGAAAAGAAATCAACTCAGCCAAAGAAAAGGATTAAAGAATTAAGAATTTTGGATGGAAAGACTGCACAGAACTTATGTAAGTAACATAAAATGCATACATTAGATAAATATTTAATTAAATATTYATTTAATTTAATAATTAAATATTTATTTAATTTAAATAAATATTTATTTTATTTATTTAATTTTCATTCTTATTTGTTGGTATGTGAAACTACTTCCTAACCCACTTCCTAAGAAAACGGTCATGCTTAATCCTGTAGAGGCTTTTGACTTTCCAGGTCTACACGGTGTTTTCACTACTGTGTTGCCGTGACTGTATTTTTATGCTTTTATTTACAGGAAATTTGGGGTCATTCTTGGCAGATTCCGCATTATGAGAAGGTAGCATGAGTATCCTCATGCAGACTGAGAGCACCTGGTAGCCTTGTGTGGATTTGATTGTTAATGCTTAGGAAGAATTAGTCAGAAATGGAGTCTCCTTATGCCAAAGTATACTTGCGACATATACTTGAAAAATGTAATGAAGAGCTTTTAAATTCAAGAAAAAAATGGTGGTCTAATATGATCTGTCTCTTAAGGAGGTGTCTTAATGGAGTCTCTGGCTCTTGACAAACAGATTCTTGGAGGACGCTGTTGTGTCGTTAAGATAGATCCCTTAGTAAATCCTCTATTGTTGCTGCTGCTTCCCATCAATGACTAATCCAGTTATTTCAGATGCATTTGAGTTCATGAAGTTCTAATTGTTCAAGATGCATTCATTTTTGGTAATAAGATTATTTTRGGAAAAGAGTGAAGCATTGCTAAAACAATTCAATGAATAGATGAAGTTGGGTAGAGAAAGCAGTAGTTTCTACTAAGCTCTTAGACAAAAGTGCTTCATTTTTTTACTTAAGCATTTGCAACTTATGTAAACAGGAATCGTAAATCTACTGCTGTGATGGTTTAATTGGGGTACAGGAAATAGTAAAATGTGAAAATCTGAAAACTAAATACTTCCTCCATGTCTTCCTGAAGCCTAAAAGCAACAAAAAGCTGTTTTATTAATATCAAGAGACCATATTTATAATATTCAGGCTGCAAGAGCAAATTTTAGTTGAAAAGGCTTTGAAATGCCTGTTGTGTCTAATTTTTCAGTGAAAATGAGGGGAGATGCTATGAAGCAAAAATATGCACCCCTTTCCAGGAGGGGAAAATAAAGAATCATTTTCTAAAATAAACTGGCGAAAGTCAACTTGAGTCTTGCTAGGATAAAAAAAAAAAGCTTTACGTGTGTGTGTGTGTCCACACACACACTGTGGATTCATTATGCAACTTGGGAAAACCATTTAAAAATGAAACTTGAAAAATTACAATTTTCTTAACCAGGCAATGGCGGCATGATTTTTAGATTCTGAGAGACTGATGAGATTGATTAGTAATGAGAAACTGATTTCTAATAAGAAAAATATAATGAAATAGAAGTTAGGTGCAAATGCTATTAACCATAAGTTATAAGGAAAGCTGCGCTATCCGATGGCATGAAATAGTGGAATTTTTAGGTATGTGATATAATTATCACATGCAAGTGTTTCAGGGTGGGGAGAGCTCTAATGAGTTGTTCTTGAGCATTTCCTCCTTTGTTTTGTGACTGTGGCTTTAAAGAAAAATAGCTTTGCTTATTATTTTGAACTTCATCCTTCTCTCATTATGTTTGCAGAACAATCATTGACAGGAGTTGATTCTTCTCTTTGAATTGCAAATACCATAAAATGCCACTAGTCTGTCTACGTCCACGCCAAATGACGTGTAAAACCAAATCTGTGCATTGTTTATTACCATGTCCCTGAGCACATTTTCCATAGCTGCAAATGTGCTATGACACAAGTCATACAAAATTTCAAACCAAGTGTTGAAAATACGAGTGCAGGAAAATCAGTCATGGTATTTGGGCTGAGAGTTCATCAGTTTATGAAAAGGATATGCCAATCTATTAGGGTTGGTTTGTGGCTTACTGAATTGGGCTCTTTTTGAGAGATCATAACAGTCTAAGATCAAATTGTTTTGATAATTCCACGTTTAAACAGTTCTGTAACGTGCCTTCTTTCTTGGATAAGCCAAGTTGCCCTCAAAAATGGGAGAAAGACAGGGTGTTGGCACGTTTTGTTACCTTTTTGACATGGTATTTTCCTAAAATGCCATGTAAAAATCATTCAAGAAACTGCAAATTCCYTTCATGTGTGTACGTGTGATTATGAAAGCAAAAATAATAGTTAAGGCTTACTAATGACAGTGTAAATGTACTTTTAAGTAAAAACATATGTATTTTCCACTTGTAAAAATAGAACTTTATTGATACAGATAAATAATACTGCTAGGAGCAATGAAGGCTCCCACAACAGTTAATACTGTTGTCCTAGTCTTACTTTTTACAAAGTTTCATTAGCATTTTGAACTGGAATAGTGCACTTGAGCTATAGCATATTTTATATGGAAAGCTCTTTTGTTGTTTATTATCTTAAGCTGAATGAAGAATGGGCTGGTAGAAATGAATTTTGTGATCTTAACTCCATTTTTTTGACATTTTGATTCTTATTATGTATTATTGACTCTTAGCAATATTTTTGGGATCTTTTCGTATGCCTTATGAAGAAATAAAAAGTATAATTTTAGAGGTTGATGAAGAGAAGCTGAGTGAATCTTTAATTCAGGTATGTCAAAATATCTCTTATTTTGTTCATTGTTTGTATGCCATATAAAAATGTTGTGAAGGAATGAGAATTCAAGAGTAAAATAGTATGGAAAATTTACTGTTTTGTATTTGTATTTCACCTCTACTTGAGAATATGTTGCTATATAACAGTAAATCTATCGTTCAAATAGCTTGTTAACAAAAGCCATTTCATTGCAGAGTTTGTTGCTTTCTGAAGCTTCCCTTTCAGAAGGAAACTTTGATGATTTTAAGTTTTGAGTTTGCAATTCAGCCAATATCTCTTAGCCAAAGAGAAGAAAAGAGGGAGCAGAGTTCCCACCCTGAGCTGCTCGAGGCAGAGTGAGCGTATGCAGATCCCCTTGGGATCTCTGGGAAGTGGCAATAGGTGAGAAGCACTCAAGGCAAAAAGTGTGCCCAGAAGTGCCATAGTAACACTTCTGGTACCACAATTCTGGCGTTGAATTAGTTTCTTCTAATACAGTATACAGATTTTGGCATTGTGACTACCACCTTGCCACATATTGGCTCTCAGATGTTTCTTTTAGCGAAGGTACCAGGCCACTATTATCCATGTGCCGTGTGTGTCCCCTACTGACGTTCTGCTTCCTCTCCCCACTCCGCCACCTTTCTCTGTGATTTTCTTCCTCTTGTCCAGGCAATTTTTAATTCTAGGGAAATTGAGTAAAACTGACTTTCTTAGTCTTTTCACAGCTAGGTTGTGCAGCTTGTAGCCTCTTCAAACATAGATGTGCTTGAACAAAATTGGCTCTATTTTGTTGCAAATGTACAATGTAAATTAAATTAACTTTATCAAATTAAATTTACTTGTGCTTCCTTCACAGTTTTTTGTTGCATCAACCAAGCCTTCCTACATCTCTGGAGCTTTGTTTCCTTGAGACTTTTATGGAAGGGCTGTCATTTTCTCATAGACACCCAAATACTGGGCTCACAGCAGTGCATACAGAGGACTATTTTTTTTTCCCTAAAAAAAGCTTCTACACAGGACAGGAATTATATAGAAAGAAGTAGGAAGTCTGAGTTTACAATTATGGTCAGGGATATTGAGTAATTTGATCATCAAGCCTACAGGATTAGTAAAATCAAGTATGGATCGGAAAAAAATAATCCTTAAATACCTCAGAAATGCAGAGTGGCTTAACACTGKTGTAGCGACCTTGTTTACAGCAAGTGCAGAATTATCTTGAGGTCTGAATTAGTAGAAATAACATATATTAGGCCAAAATGTAAGGTCATGATCTTAAAATGCAGCTGTACAACACTGGGAGCTAATGCTGTAGTGGTTGCTGATCAATCAGAGATGTTTGAGGAGGAGTAATAGTGAGTCTGTCTCCAACAAGATGAGTATAACTACCACTGTGAGGCAGCCATAAAGAAAGCAAATGTGATTGTAAGCTGTATCAGTGAAGTGTTTCCAGGAGAGAGGATAATTATTACGCTTTTGAATAACACACTTGTGCAGAGTATTTTAGATAATGTCTTACATTTCTCAAAAATGAATTAAAAATGTAGACAGAACTTAAACTACTTAAGCTGATTGGGGGATGGAGAAAGAGTTYGGAATGGAAGCTGGAAAAGATTGGCTTGATTAGCTTAGCAATATARATAGCTGAGAGGGGATATAACTGCATTATACCTGTACTAGGAAAAGGGAGACAGCTAGATTAGCATCAGAGAGGAAAATGAAATTGCTTAAGTAAAAGGCAGTGTTAACAGCAGAACGCATGGATGCCTGCATTTAAATTCATATCCATTTTAGAAACGCAACTGTTGTTAATCAGCCAAAGAGCGAGGCCTTGGTTTGATGTTCCTGGGGAGAGTTGGAGAGTTGGAAAGGAGAAGTTTTATTTGGAGTTTGGACCATTTCTGGAAGGACTAGTGTAGCCTGTAATAGCAAGGAGATTTAGCTCATATACTGTAAGAATTTGCTTCCATGTTTCTATAAATATTCTGAAGAACATAAATGACATAAATGGCTCTATCATCTAATTGGTGTTCATTGTCTTCTGATGTGTTTTATTCTGGTCTTCCAGCTACGTGAGAGGTACTCCCTAATTTACTAGTTTAACTTTTTTCAGTGTTACTAATCGGAGAACTTGTACAAAGCAAGGCTTGTTTGCTTTCATGCGTAGCAGAACTTTACAGAAATGCATGTTCAGAAACTGCTTTGTTCTCCAAGTATCAGGAAGTCCCTATGACTCTCAGAGTATCTAAGTAGTTGTGAAAGCTAAAAGAGTATAGCATGACTGAGCATATTGAGAAATGCTGCCTTGTTCAGTTAGACTTCTGAAGCCCTTGTTTCTTGCTGCTTTTCAAATTCATCTTGTAATACTTACCAGAGTAATTGGATTTTTAATCAGATTGGATACATGGTAGACTGTAGGCGATTCTTTTTTCTTTTTTTTTCCCCCTGAGAAATATATTTTAGGGAAAATAGTCTCGATTCTTTTTGAGAGAGTAAGTTCTTGTAAGCAGCTACACATTGAATATTTGACTGCAGCAGGTACAGTCAAACATCATGTTTAGTAGAATTTGGGGCATGTGACAGTGGCCTTTCAACTGATGCTCATGGTCTGGGTGCTAGATGGAGTGGCTTATTTGACAGCAGTAGGGAAACAAGCAAGTATGCTGTAATAGTTCTCTTASAGTGGTGTTTTTATATCACTATTACTGCTGCTGGTTCAACTGTCAGACATCTTCAGGAACCTTAGTTCTTGGCTATGAGTTGGGATGTGGAGACTTAGGGGCTGTATTCAGCCAGTTGTGAAGATGCATTTTGCATGTGTTTGAAGTTTAATGGTGTTATTTTTTTGTGGTATTTTGAAGTATATTTGTAAAAATTGTTAAYTGTTAATCATTTTATTGTATATTCAAGTTTGTATGCATGTACTTTTATGTGTTCTAATTATGACTAGGTTTTCTGGTTGCTCTTAAAACTGGTTATTTTAAGTGCCTTTAAAAGGTTTGTTTAAGCCTGCATCACCATCATAAATACCTTAATCTAAAATATTGTGCTCTAAAATGTGTTTTGATATTCTACCATTTAATGCTTTAGCCTCATTTTTGATTATCCCATAGAATTGAKCTACATAAACATACATACACATATCCTTGACATTTGCCACTGTTGAGGGTTATAACCTAATATGAAAGGTGTTCTGTAAGGATGTTGCGGAAGTAGAATATGATAAGAGCCCCAATCAAGAACTAAGACCAAGCTAGACCATGACTCTCTTGTGGTCTGCTTACCAAAGAACATACATAGATACATACATACATGTATATATGAGTGCATCTGTTTGCATGAATGTGTATATATTTACACACATATATACACATGTATATGTGTATACACATATACACACACACACTTATATCTATGCATATTTTTATAACATGACCCTGATCATTKATCTATATTTACAATCTTTGGACCCTATAAGTTATAGGCGAGTCAGCTTAATTTCAGTTCCTGGGGTGCACAGCCCTTGAAATACACTCCCATACACTGTTGTGAATGAGGCCTTAAGTGTTTTGGTTTTTTTTTCCCCGTTTCCTGTCTTGCTTTGCACAAACCAGTTGTTTCTTGATTAATACGGGATGAGCCATATACAATTGTGAGGGCAAAAGAAAAGATAGATAGGAAATAATTCTTCAGTGTTTGACTGTGTTGAAGAGTTTTGTGTATAACTCTAAATCACCCCTCAAATTAGATATAGTATTGATATAGACTGTAGATATAGTATTGGAGGTATCTAAATTGAATAAGCTTCTAACTTTATTTTTTTTCCTTATGATAGAGTCTAGTCAAGAATCTTCCAGAGCAGAAAGAGCTCAATGCCTTAGCCCAGTTAAAGGATGAATATAATGACCTTTGCGAGCCAGAACAATTTGGAATTGTCGTAAGTATTTAGTGCAATAGTTAACTGGAAAGTTCTATTTTGTCAGGGATATTAGAAAGAAAATAATTAGTTTTAAATTAGTTTGATTAGAGTTGTTGCAATTTCTACAGGCTGTTATCATTTATTTATCTATTAGTAATCTAAAATCAATCTAAAAACTTCTTTAAATATGCTATGTACAGGAATAATGGCATGCAGTTAAGATCAAAAAATGTTTCTCTTCCATCCAAGTATTTTATCTAACTACACTATATGTCTTATATGCAAATATTGTACCTTGTTTAAACTAAAGTGTTCTTCATAACTAACAAAGAAGGTGTAGTTCTAAGAGTTCATGAACAATTCATTTATCAAGTGGCATTGACAGCTTCCAATTAACTTATACTACTGTATGGAAAACTGTAAATGACGGAATATTTATGTTTTTATGCTTTATTTTACAAAAGATAGATTTTTTATGTACATATTTATATATCCTTAATTTATGAAAATATTATGGAAGAGGCACGCACACATGTCAGAATTTCTTTGTAAAATTGAAATCTGTTGCTTTTGCATCTGCTTACATAGGTTTATCCCCAGARTAGTGATCACAGATATTACAGTGACTAGATCTTGTGATTCTGTCTCATTCTGTTTCATTCAGAGACCATGATTTTTATATAAATCACCCTAGCACTTGCTAGTAGCTAGTGTTAAATCACCCTAACACTTGCTAGTAATAGTATCTGTCAACTTGTGCTAGGGTAAACAGTTGGTTTTTTGGTTTATTTGTTTTGTTTTTTTCCTCTTGCTTTTGTCCTTTCCAGGACCTGTTTAGTCTTGAGACAAAATGAATTMCAATTTTCACCATGTGTCAGTCTGGAAGATTATAGTGCTGACGATTAGCTCTAATGTCTATGTTATGCAGATGCCTATATGCCTAAATCTGTAAGAGCCAAGTTTGCTCTTGTTAGATTCATATAGTGTTAGGTACAATAAAATGTATTATAAACAGAAGTTGTGGTCTCCTTGAAAGAGTAAAACTAATCTTCTATTGAAAAGCTCYGTTTTGAGCATAATTTGTCTTCAGAAGTTCCCTTTGCCTGATTGTTTCAATTGTGAGAACATAATTTCACCTAATGAGGTTTGTGYGGAGTTTTTTGTTTGTTTTCTGAGGAGTTAGAGGAATGAAAGGCCAGGCACATTTTGGAAAACCTGGAGGCTATTTATTTTGTAACAAATGACATCAGGTTCTCAAAATGCATCGTTTTGCAGCAATGATGAGGAGGCTTGATTGAGGTGTGATATATAACTCCGTGCAAAAGCCCTGAAGGAACAGCGTGTCCYCTCTTTGTCASCTAGCAGAAAGGGACTGAAACAATATGGGGCACAAAGGACTTTTGCTCTTTCCTCGGGGAAAGGAGGAGGCCGGAACAATTGGATTCTCCCTCTGCTTCCTCTCTGCTCTTGAAGAGGCAGGGAGCAAAAGGATTAGCAGGGAGTCATTGATACAGCAAATATTTATTCCATTATTCCGTTCTCACCAAAATAGGGCCACTCCAAGTGCAAAATTATTTACATTTTGAGCAAGGGGAGTATGTGAAGTTGTCCAAAGRAAACATTGTAATGCTGTAAATTCCCACCTACACCACCCTGATCTTTAGTAACTTGTGTCTTATTCTCATCAGATGCCTTCTTTTGCCGCAAACTTTCCATTATAAGCATTATCCCCATCTTGTTTCTTCTCAGCCTTTTTTCTCAATTCAGTATCGCTCTCATTTTGTATGAGTTTTATAGAATGACATTTCTGGATCCGTGTGCTGTTTATCTGCATCCTTGCTGTTCTCCGAGGGGTGACAGTGAATTACCCTTCTGCCGAGGAAAGCTGTGACCATGAGGCTGCACCACGGGTTGGGTGCAAACTGCAGAAGTCAGTGCGCTGCCCTGAGCCATTTTCTAGGGATTCTACATCAAAATAAGAAGCAGAAAATTCAAAGGAAATGAAAAACTTAGAATGATAAATGAAAATCACTGGGGAGCCTGCCTTATGTCTTCTGATTGTCTTACAAACCTGTGATCTTCTGTTTCTGACTTCTAATTATTACTAAATTAAGTCTAAATAATGCTTGTTTTTCACTCAAAAAAAGTCAAAGCTTCTTTGAAAAAGTCATATTTTTTTTTTATAAATACGTCTTTATTTTTAGATGACAAGTATCATGTAATATACCTGTGATCACTCTTTTTAGAATCACTTTTTTTTCCTTATTTTGGGAAATAGTTGACCACAAAAGTAGAGAAAGGATTCAAAAATAGTTAATGCAACATTAACTCGGAACACAAGCCTAATCAAATTTGTCCAAACTGTGGCTTTTCCCTCATGAAGAAATTAGATGTCCTGAAGCTTGTTTGTTTATTCAACTTGATWATCAGATTCGATTAAAAAAATATTAGTTTTCCTTATGGGTACTGCCTATATCTTAGTTTTAGAGGCCTTTGGCTGCAGTAATACTGATTTTAAATACTGATTTAATACTGATTTTGTTTAAAATGCTGATTTTTTTAATCATTTAGTTTAATTCAACCATCCATTCTTCCATTAAAGAAATGCAGTTGGATTTGATTGCAGTCATGGAGGTTCCTTTTACTTTTTAAAATTAATTTTGGAGTCTTGCATTAATAATAATCTTAACCTTGATTTTAGGAAGAGTATATTTAAAAATAAAAGCTAACTGATAGGCTATATTAAAGAACATTTATAAGGTGTACACTTATTTGTATGTAAAGCTAGGTGTCTTAATTAACAGAGATTTTTATTTGGATAATCACTATGCCCATCAAGTTTAATAAAGGTCAGAATAAGATGTTTAAAATTTGTGTAGAAAAGACATACTTAATAAATAGATTACTTACTGTAAGAAACCAATTAGCTTAATATTCATCTGATATGTGAATGAAAATTAGAGCATCACATTTTCATTTAGATGAAATATTAAGATCAATTATATACTCAAATTAATTATTGGAGCAGTTTTTGAAGTTATGTCCTGGGATTTAGAAAAAGGCAGCTGAAAATCTCCTATGAAAATTATTGTGTTACTGATGCTGAAGCAGAGTGACRAAAATAGATTAACTGATTCATTTCTATAGCACTAAGCTATGCAGAAATTTCTGGTATTTAAGTATACAATATGTATTCAAAAACAATATGTAGGAAAGAAGACTAACTTAATCATSTTTTTTGCCATGTTTTCCAGTAGCCGCTGAACTAAGTTTGGTTGGGGAGTTAGAAAACTGAAAGGAAATTATATTTCTTAAAGAAAGAAGAGAGTCAAGAWCTTGATTTCGGGCAAGAACCTTTATGGGGAAATTATAACATGCGGATGCATAGGAAACTTATTAGCTCCAGTGCCCACRTAACATGAGCTGGACAGGAAATAGCTGCTTTTTATCTGGATACGATTCTCTTACTCGTATGCACTTGAATCTGTGTGATATTTTTATATGACTTTGACTCCAAATTTGTAGAGCTGTAAAGAAACTGATGTTTTTCTTAATGCATCTTGATTATTGCACCTTACCTATTTTGATAAGATTCCTCTAAGTTTGGTATTTCAATCAGCCATTGAAAATGTGTGCATAGATACATATGTAAGGAGARATTCAACCTATGTAATGAAATTAAAACTTAGGGCTGTTATAAACAACTACCTGGAAATGCAAATAAATCCTCAGCGTGTTGTAGCTTGGCGACCAGTGTTCCACACCAGTTTACAGAATTTAAAAAATAGAAAAGTCCAAAGTYCAAAGCTAACACATTGGAAAGGATTATTCTTCACAAATGTTTTGCTCTGTATTCTGCCAGCTTTTACCGTTGCACTTCTGTTCTCATATTCTAAAGAATTTCAATATCTAAGTGTTTAGACATCGTGAGTGAATTACAAACATATACTAACTGTGAGTGCATACGTTTGAAGACAATCTAACAAAATTCATCTTGGAGCATTCGAACCGATGAATCRCTAGCAAAGATGCTCTTTAATTTATACATCATTTCCCACATTTACAGAGGTGTCATTTATACACTCCTGTCTGTTGATCAGRTCAGTAAGTAATGTACTCCCTTTAGCAAAGTACCTGAAATATAAAGGTGGTAACATATGGGAGAGTAGCTTAGGAAGTTTGCTTCAAGGTTGAAGGTAACAGGTTGCAAAGCAGGCAGCGTGCTGCCCACACAATGTGATGTTTTGTGGTCAGTACTGAAAGAGTAATGCTGAAGTGTGTGTGTGTGTGTGTGTGTGTGTGTACGTACGTATATACACACTCTTTTAAAATTTGGGGCATATTTCCTTATATACATAGGATTTGGATTTGTTGCTGGGGATTCCTGCCAAACCTGCTTTATCGGCCTCGCCAATCTGATTAGTCTTTGAGAAGTTCAACTTCAGGCTTTTTTTTTTTTTAAGGTGAACTTGATAGATCTTGGGATCAAATGTGTATTGTACTGTGTCTTCTGAAATACTTTTGAACTTGCTTAGTAATCATTCCAAAATACTGGTGACATTTATTATTTTTGTGAAACTTATGATGCTATGGGTAATGTTATTAGCTAATAATGAACCGCCCCCAAAAAAGTATTTTGGTTGAATTAGAACTGCAAAAATAAAACCTTAGATGTGACATCAATATTTATCACAATGAAAGTCATCAGTGTTTATAACAATAACTCATATCAGGATAATAGTGGAAAATACTTCACAGCTAATGGCATTGATGTAGCTCTAGCTTCATATAAACATCTAACTAATGAAGCTTGACCTCATGTGCCTCTAAATTACTGAAGTTTTCCCACGTCCTTCACCAAAGTGTCCTCTAAGAATTCACTCCCTTTTCTTTCTTCCCTATTGCTGCCTTAATGATCAAAGGTGATTTAGAACTGTGCATCAGCTTCCTAAGAGAGGGTCTAAAAAGGAAAAATGTTATTCTTTACCTTATTCGGACTGTAACATAAGTGTTAATATTTGTGTTGGTCACAGCACAAGCCCTTAAGAGATTCCTAGAGAAAAACTGGCAAACTTAGTGCTAGGAAATCAGTAAATATCAGAGACCAAGGGTAACTTTTCTCTTTTGATCTGTGACACTGTGTTAAAACTGATCTTCAGTAGTTGTTAATTGCTGGAACTGCCTTAGATTTCTTTGGCTCTGAAGAAGTGTTATGGCAGTGTGCAGCCTTTATTGTCAGTGAGTTTAGGATTAAGTTCTGTGGTACCAAAATGTGTTCTTATTTTTCATGTGTTTCAATTAGTTGGGTCAAGTTATGTGGCRTGGAGGAAGAAAAATCTGTGTGCAGGTGTAGAGTACTGGATGTGCAATACACTCAATACTAATGTATTCAATGTGGCTACACAATATTTTTATTAACTATTTTGCATGAGTTGCATAAATTTGCTTTTATTATTTTTATGTTTTGATTTCTTATTTCCTGTCTTATAGATGAGTTCCGTGAAAATGCTGCGGCCTCGTCTCAATGGGATTCTGTTCAGACTCATGTTCGAAGAGCACGTAAACAACATTAAGCCTGACATTATGGCAGTTACGCTGGCTTGCGAAGAGCTGAAGAAGAGCGAAAGCTTCAGCAGGCTTTTAGAGTTGGTGCTGCTGGTTGGAAACTACATGAACTCTGGCTCCAGAAATGCACAATCTCTTGGTTTTAACATCAGTTTTCTTTGCAAGGTAAGATAAAGCTATACAACTTTTTTTATGGTAGATTCATGAAGTTCCCAACACATGACTAACTCATCTAAGCAGGGAAAAAACTTTTGCCAGTGAAAACTACTGCCGACCCCTCTAGTTTTAGGACGGAGAGACAATACAAGGATGTTGCCAACTCTAGATAAAAGTCATCACCTGGGAAAAATTATTTATGAATAATTGTATTAGAGGTTAAGTTGAAAGTGCTTAAATATATGGCTGCTTTTGTTTTTGATTTTTTGACTCAAAAGGGAAATTTTTGTTTTAAGTAGAAAAATAACTCTTGGYTGGGGCAAGGGAATAATGGGAACAATGACTGTTGATGACTGCTATTCTAGCATAGCTGAGATTTGAGAAGGAATTCTTGCACTCCAGGTGATAGATTATTGCAAACTGCTGGCAATGTTAATCCAACGGACATTGATACAGTAGAAGTAGTTTGAATGATTCTATCGACTCTACTGAACAGAACTGTTGAAGTGTAGCTATTGGGGCTTGCAGCTAAATTCCATTTAAAATAATGGAGAAACTAATTTTTGATTATTCAGGCCTACCCTGGGGGAAAAAAAAAAACTTTTTACTTAATTTTTGCTTAGACTGATATTTCTTGTGTGTGTGTGTTTTTTCTCCTTCTCTGTTACAAATGGAGAAAATAGTTGAACATGAAAATGCATCAGCAATAGATCTACATTTCCAAAATCAGAGCAAATTTCTTAAGTTAGTGGACATGCAGTTTGTCATGACAGTGCCATGGTTGTGGTTRTTCGTTATTACRTTCATTGCTTATTTGTGCCCAGGGTAGAGGTTATCTTCTGTTCCCATTTTATRGCCTTACGTTTCACTACTCTATGTTGAACCCATTTTAATTTGACCTTAAGGATTGACCTTTCTGGAAATAGTTTGTGCCAGCACTTATGCTGTAGGATCTTATTTAGAAGAGTAATTTTAAATTGTTTTAATTTGAATGTATTATTCTCGTCTTTTGCCACTGAGATGAGGAATGGTCAAGTCAATATCCATATTTAAAAAGATTAACATCCAAATGATAGTTTCTTGTTTAAAAATGCATGAATTTGGAAAACCTGAGGTCAGTGAAATTGCATTGTTAATGTTTTGCAAATCCYATACATGCAGGGTGCTCTGTAAAAACCTTTTATGTTCCAATGATTTAGTACTACTGAAGATTTAGTATATATATTAGAGTATTTTGTTTGACAAGTAATTATTTCTAGACCAAATAGTGAATTCAGTTAATGCTAGTGAGTGCTGTTGGTTTAACAATTCTCGAGGAAACATTATGGCCTCTCTAATGTGGTAATGCTTTGAGAATTAAAAGGATGAAAATCCAAAGAGTATAATATAAAACCATTGAAATGAAGTGATTTTCAGGATTTTGAACCTGTGATCCACATATTTACTAGGAGTAAACTAAAAGATTGAAAGTATATATTTCTGATTTGATTTCTGTTAATTTAGATATGTTTGAAATAGCCTCAGAAAACAAGCAAACAAAGATTCTAATTGCTGTTTAGCATTAATCTCGAATGTAGTTATTGCCTATAGCTATATGTTTGTATGTCTATAAGGTAGTAAGTAAAAGTACAAGAAAGTAAAAGTATCCAATTTTTCACAGATAGACTACTAGAATAGCCTTTGTCATTTAAAAAAGGAAAATCAATATTTATTTTGATATTTTGATCTCAATGMCACAGCCTAAATAGGACATGGCTTTAATTGAGAAGAAATTGATGAAACTTTAGGTGTTTAAATCTTTTTGTCAATGAGTACTTTTGTGAGAACTAGATGTCTACTTGTGAGAATGTACATATTATTGGKTTTTGATTATTAACTATAAACAGCATAAGCAGGTATCTTTCCTTTGTAAACATAGTATCTCCAGTTCTCCCTTTTCCAGAGCTCTTATTTACGATAAATGACRATTTATCTTTATAGTAATGGACAATATTAAGATTGGTAAGGTGAATTTGTGCTTTAAATTGTGATATGTGCTATGCCAAATTTTCTTCTGATTTGCAGTCTGTTTGAGCGACGAGCCAAGGGCATCTAACTTGATGTGCATGGCRTAGACACAGTCTTGGCTCTAAATCTTAATACAGAAAAATCATTCCTTCAGGCTTGCAGAAGGTAACCCCTTTAAAAGAAAGGCACCATAGTCCAACGACAGGTGATGGTCTTCAAGATCTGCTACTCATGAAAAAAGAAGAATGAGTTAAGGATGTGACAATGATTGGCAGCCCTAACTATGAAATAGTCAAAAAAAAAAAAAAAATCTGGGACGTGAGGGAGGCAAGCACAGACTGATATGCAGGAGGACAGACTTTGATTTATTTGAGGAACTGGTAGATGTGGGAGGCAGTTTTGTAGAGCAGAGGTGCTGAAGCAAGCTGGCACTTTGAGAACCTCCTGCAAGGCCCCCAAAATCCATCCCACTGTTGAAAAAAAGTGAGTAGATACATGAGGAGACCCTTTTGGCTGAAGAGGGAACTCATGGCTGAGCTCCAATGCAAAGCAGACATACACACACATGGGAAAGAGAATCAAGGTCAAGCTTTTAAATAGAAAGAAAATAGAAATGTTGCCTGAACGTACAGGAATCACTTTGGAAAACCAAAGCTCTGGGTTTGAAACTTGCAAGAGATGTCTAAGAGCTTCTACTGCTGACTCAAATCACAAATAAGAATGTGCATCTGCTACTCAACGTGGTGGCCATTTTATTTACAGCAGATTCGGGTATTGCAGCGAGGTTGTAATGCTTTATATGCATTGGTCTTTCCTAATAAAGTCTCTCAGACCTTTTGTACCTTGAGACAGGGTTCAAAGAGAAGACATACCTAACTTGACCTAAACAGGGTCAAGTTAGAGATCTGTATGGAAAACTTAAACCCCACAAGTCTGAAGGACCCAAAGGACTGCACCTGAGGGTGCTAACATCTGGCTGATATCGTTGTAAGGTTTCCGTCTAAAGTCTTTGAAAGGTTGTGGACACTAGGTAAGCCCTCTGATAGCTGGAGGAAAACCCTTCAAAAAGGGCAAGAAGGGTCATCCAGGGAACTGCAGGCCAGTCAGCCTAACTTGTATTTTCACGGGGAGGTTCATCAACAAGTGTATTTGGTGGAGGACCAGAAAAAAGGTCATGAAGGTCAAGCACTTGCCCTCCTTCCAAAGAAGGTCAAGCCTTCTTTGTGAAGAAAGGCTGATTCCATGGTACTTATTCACCCTGAAGAAGAAAAGACTTCACGGAGGACTACAGCAGCCTTCCAGTAATTAAGAGATTGTTGATAAGATGGAGCCAGGCTCTTGGCTAATGTATATAGCAGGAGAATAAGAAAAGGTGCTCATAAATGGAAGCAAGGGAGGTTTGGACTGGATATAGGTGGGAAAAATAAGTTTATTGAAAGATGAATTTCTTGTTTTCTAACTATGCAGAATTATCTTTTCCATAAATACAAATCTAGATTTTTACCAGAGAATTAAATGAGAGAAGCACCAAAAAAATTTTACTGTGAAGGATAAAAGTACTGGAAAGGTGCAAGTTACAGCATAAAATATAGTAATGTAATTATGCAATAGTGTAAGCATTATAGTTCTTGCTCTTTCTATTTTTTGTTTAGTGTAGAATTACTGTTTTCCTTATCTTACTTATATAATTTTAAAAATCCAAGAGCTAAATTTTGCATTCTAAGAGAATCTTAAATATGAGTGAAGTGAATGGAGACGGTCTGTTTGTTAGGGCCAAAGACGGAATGTGAAAGGGTAGATCAAGATCTGCAGGACTGTTTGCTACCCCTAGATAGGAAATTCCTGTGTTAGCCTTGCTGGCAAAAGACARCTCTGTTTTAATCTGAAGGCAAAATAATTTTGTCTATTTAAAAAAAAAAAAAAAAATTATCCACTTCATAATGTCACAAAGATCAAAGAAAACAAATCCCACGGTTCTTGTTTGCAGACAAATTGAAATGCAATTTCCTTTCACCGTACAGATGCTTAGCCAGTAAAGCTAGTTGCTAAAACTTCTGTGTAGATAATGCATTAATGCATCAAAACCTTTTAACTGTATACCATTGCTGAGCATTGTTTAGTCCTTAATCACTGAATCAGTATGAATTAAATTGCATCCTTAATTGCCTAAATATCTTATATTTTTAAAAGCCTGATTTTGGACTGTACTTATTTATTCTGAACAGGGTAATCCTTAAAGCCGAAAGGCCTGTATTAAATTGAACATCAATGCAAGCCTGTCATGAGGATTATAGAATTAGAACTTTTAGTGATTTACAGAATGAGAAAACAAATAGGAGATTTTGTACACATATTTATGTATTCTTATTAAATAAATCCTTGATTTCATTTGTAGTGTATCTTGTAGCTTCCTCTTGTATAAGGACTGTACTAGATGTAGAGTTAATAAAATTTGGTTAAAAATCTTTACAGCTCTAGTTGTAATACTAATTCTCCTCTATAAAAATGAAGTATATTCATGTTTTAAAATATTGCATGCGTTTATTCCTCCTGGCCCTTGAAAATAAAGGATATTCTCTATCTCTGCCAAATCTTCAGTTAACCCATGTGTTCATTCCTTATGTGTCCATAAGAATGGAGATACCGAGTTTGGACTTGAGTCTGTTTTTGTCATTTCCTTAAATTCATGATGTTCCTTTCTATATACCCCAGCACGCTGCAGAATAGGATTTGGCTGCAAATGTATGTGCATTCTGGGGAATTTGTTGCCAGTCCTATATCTCATGATCACAGAATGATTTTTGAAACTGTCGACTTAGTCTAGTTTTGATGGAGATCAGAGAGTCAAATCACCTTTGAGACGGCTAGTGTATGCCAGAAATGGACTGTACAATTGAGAGGATGGTGAAAGGAAGTAATTGCCTATTTGTTCACACTGTGCAGAATTCTTTCACAGTGTTTCCTAAGTAAAACTGAACTTAATGAGTGGGATTTGCTGGCAGTTAAGATTAGATTTGCTTTTTTCTTGTTTTGTGTTGCAGAAATGGTAATTTATTTCATGTGTTTAGGCAGAATTGTTTAGAAAGCCTGAAATAGCTGGAAATTTTAAGATCCAACCTTTTTCTTCAGCSTTTTCTGCAATAAAAAATGTAGATTTATGATGAGAAGCTTCTGAATCTTAATCGGAATCAGAGAGCAAATTGTGTTTAGTGTCCAGTCCTACTCTGCCCCTTCACCAACTCGGCAGTGGTGGCATAGTTGGAGTTTGCTTTTTTTGTTTAATTCTATTAGCTTGCAGCTGTATTTTTATTCCAGTTTTCTCAGAATAAATTCTTCTGAAGAGTGCAGTAGATTGCTCTCATGTGCTTGAAAATTAAAAGGAATTGCAGAAGTTGGACTTTTGAAATAGTTTGCCTCAGTTTTAGTAAACCGTTGCACGTTACCTTTTTGTTAATGTATTGAATTAAAATGAGCTTGACAGATTAAAACAAAAAGGCTTAATTAAAAAGCTGGTTTTTCTTTGTTTTCCCCTCTGTTCATTTTTCTAGATTAGAGATACTAAGTCATCGGATCAAAAAACAACCCTACTGCATTTTCTGGTAGAGATCTGTGAGGAGAATTATCGAGACATTTTAAAATTCCCAGATGAATTGGAGCATGTTGAGAGTGCAAGTAAAGGTAAGCAAAAAGATAAGGCACCTAAAGGGAATACTTGCTTGCTCTTACATGAAAGATTTCAAATACTTCTTTTGAAACTCTAGRGTTATGTAACATGTTAGTATCAATAAGCCAGCTGAATTCTTGCTTTTCTGGTATTTATTGACCTGAGAAATGAAGGGGAAAATCATTTATAAAGTAATCTCTCTTCATTTGAAGTGGACTGCGGAAATGGTAGGGTACATCTCAGTGAAGAGCTTACAACTTCAGATGAGGGATTTTTTTTATTAGTAATATAATGTTGATGTTTATTTTCTCATTATCCCTTTAAGGTCTTCAGTTGTTTCTTGCAGGTAAATACATGGCTTATCCATGTGTCTCTAATATTTGAATATTGCCTCAATAAAGAGTAACAAATATCCCAGTAGTTAAAAGATCCCAATAAGCAAAATATGAAGGATACAGTTTAGTGGAGTGTGCGTTTACCACAAAGTCAGCAGTTAATACTAATTTTGTTGTTAGTCAGCCGTATTGCCCAGTACATGGGATAGAAAACTTAATTCTTGTTGGAGAACATTTAAAATAAAACTTACAGTGCTTCTTAGCCCATATTGGTTCCTAGATACAGAAAGATTAAAATTATTTAGCTTAGAAATTATATCTGTTATAAGATGTGAAAGATTGGTATGTGGTCTGAATTGTAATAAAAATTTATCCTAGGAGAACTTTTCCAGTTCATATTTGTCCAAATAGGAATTGAGCGAGCTGTAGTATACTACTACATTCACTGTTATCACAAAGCAGGAAATTTGATTTCATTTTTTAAAGAATATCTAGGTAGCTTCTCACCCCAAAATAAAATAAAATAAAACCAATACCAGCTGTCATTAAGCCACTCACTGAAAGAAAAACCGAAATAGTAGTTTAACCTTGAAAATAATGATTTTATTTGGATAATTTAGCTGTTAATGAAAAATAGACTGTCGCATTTTTATCTTTTCAATCTTTTGTTAAAAAGAAGAGTTTGAAGTCTTTGTGAAAATCAGGTAAGCTTGTGAATCACTTCAGACCCCAGGTCTTCCCTCTGCAATGCAGTGGGGCCATGCTGTGATAGAGTTCTTCAGTGTATGCAAGAGTTCCTGCCTCCCAAGTCAGGGCAAGGATCAGCTTTTATAATATAAAGGTCAGATCAAATGAGTTTCCCATGTCAGAGAGATTTTCCTGTGCAGCAGCCTTGAAAAAAAACAGTGCTGTGTGGAGGGAGCAAGTTATTTAAATACCCTCTCCTGTGAGAAAGAGACTGGTTGCACTGTCCTTAAACTTAATTTCTGGCTTAACCTTCTATTACAATTGACCTGTCAGATTTTGCAAGGCTGATATTTTGCATCTCTCCCACTCTAACCAAGACCGTGTGATAGCAGCTGATAAAGATGAATCCAACAGGCTTTTGTTTTAAGTGGCCATTCAAGAGTACAAGACCATGAAGGTTAAGAGAGGGGGAAGAGAAAAGAGGGTGCAGATGCACAGCTCTGTCCAGTTCTTCTTCTGCAAAGATTGATTCATCTCGGGGTCTCTCCCTCATGCTGTGATTTGCCTTTTATTCTTCTCCTTCTTCCTCAGAGTTATCAGGAGCCTGTTTATCTTTAAATGCAGAGACCAACTATTCAGTAACATACTCATTGTAGTTAGACTATCATTTTCTCTATTGGTGTGTCTTCTTGTCCTCTTCTATGCTGAAACCAGGCCCACTGAGGGAAGAACTCTTACTTCCTCAAGGACTTCAGTTGTGCTGAGAACTACTTGCTCTTGTTTCATGTTCTAATTATTCAAATTGCAGATATGAGTAGCTTTGTCGTTTTATATATATGTGTGTGTGTATTATGTACTTGTTTTTTAAAACTTTGCAAGTAGTTGTCCATGTTTTTTCTCTGTATGAGCATGAAAATTTATTCGTAATGCTTAAAGCTGAAAAAAAAGGGGGAAAAACGGCTACAGACATAAGGGGAGTCACTTGACTTAAGTACGTTTGAAAAAGAAATGCATTGGCCAATAACATCTCCATATCAATTTTAAAYAATATGAGCAAAACAGTCACACTGGTTACTTGAGATGTTTACTAGTTTTAGGCAGAAGGCAGCCACATRGTTTGAACTATAGATAAAATTATGAATACACAATTTTATAAATATATAAATAAATCTTGTTTTGCTTCAATTTTTATGCAAGAACAAAGAACAAGAATCTGAACAAAGGATATAGGAGARTTTTTTTAACAAATAGATAAAACATGAAACTGGATTTTAATATGAAAAGGTCAATGGGATTAGGTGAACTGCCCATGCATGTACTAAAATCTTCAATAATCTGATATTAGGTATAATAAAATCTTTTGATCTTTTTAAGGTTGGAAGATCAACGTAACGGTTTATGAAAAGTAAAAATAAATTGGGAAACAGTTTTATTCTGGAAAGTGTAAGCAAAGGTCAAACTGATTAACTAAGAGGAGATTATTGGAAAACCATTCTTTCCTACTCCAAGAAACAGACTCTATGAGAGGAAAACCAATAAAAATCAAATGACTGTCAAATTCAGGTCCTGTGATGTAAGGAGTATTCACTCACCAGCCCCCAAACTCACGTGTTTTCCTCCCGTTCCTCTTGTGGTTGAAAGTGTGCCAAGCCTTTACTTGACTTTTTAAACGTTGTTTGCCTTACCTGTCCTTCTCTTCTTAGGATCTGCTACTTGCCATGTTGTAAATTTTGAAAGCCTTAAATTTTTACATCTTTTTCTGCAGATGATACTCAAGGAAAGCCAAAACAAACAAAAAAGTCCCTTCCTCAAGTCCACTAGCAAATCTGAGATTTTTTGGTTAAAGTTATATAGTGAAGAAGTTCCTCAGAATGGTTATTTCCTTCYAATGTGAAACTCACTTGACTATGAAACTACCTAGAAATTGCATAAAAGAAATGTGTGGCACAAAAGAAATGAAAAGAAGCGGAGAGTTGTTAATCATCGATTTTATAATAATTTAGTTTCAGATTTTTAAAAAGTATATGTATAAATCACAGCTGATGGCTTAAACATAGAGTGTGTATTTATAGTAAATCCTAGTCAGATCTTGTCAGGGAGGSCACGTGTAACCTTATGAAGCTATTTCAGTGTATATAAGGACTTGGTAGCCCGAATGAAAAGTTTTATATTGAAAATTCATTTTTACCCTAGATGGACAGCTAGAGTGCAGGAGGGTTCATCATCATCTTAGCCTGTGCACTTTTCTGAAAATGTAAGGAATTGTGGAAGAGAACAAAGCAAACAACAAAAGACAACAAATAGTTTTCCATGTCACAAAGCTCCTGATAGATTTCTTTGTGCCTGCACAGCACAGTGGAATAATATTTGATAGAATAAGTGCTTGCTGTCTACTGATGGCAGCAAATTAAAAAAACTAGATACCAGAAAAAAAAGTGAGCTCAGATTGGCTCTCTGTACTAGGCAGATTCACAAGTGCATTTATTAGTTGCTAGCAAGGACTTGTCTCCTGAAATTTATTTTTTTGCTGTTCTAATCTTTTTTTGCGATCTGAACTTTCACTCTTTCATGACTACTTAAAAGAAATTTAGGAGCTTGTAGCCYTTTTACTGTTGCCACTAAAATCAGTATTGTGCGTCGCGTACCAAAAGAGCCGTTCTCGAAAATTTCACTCATGGGTATAGCATGTGTCACTGTTTGGTGGACYGTTCCTGGCTTCAGGAACATGGGACATGGAACAACTCGGGAAAAAAAGTTAAGATGATATAATCATAATGGCAGAGGTGTTCTTGTTAAAATAGGGATTCATTGATACCAATTTATCTCCATTGGACGAAATCAGCAAAATACAGTTAGATTCTACAGGATCCAGCAGTTGAGTAGTTTTATAGAAAGTCAATCTATGTTCATAAGGGAGGTGTAGTTACCTTGCCTGAGTCATGCACGGGAGGTAGGAAGCATCCTTAAAAAAGCATGATGAGTGCAGTAAACAATATAATGCTTTGTCTTATACAGATTTGGAGTATCTTGAGTGATTTCGTGTTTAACAATAAACAAGCGAGTGCTTGTATTTTCTTAAATGTTCAGATACAGATTATATGACAGGGTTATATGACAGGACCTCTTACTCTCTCCCGCTTCTCACAATGTCCATCTCCTCCCAAATTTATTGATTCCTGACATCCTTGTGGTGCATGGTAAATTCTATAGGACTTATGTACAGCTGAAGCTGTCGAACTTGGTGTGGAGTAGGAATTATTGTGCTGAGTAAAGTCATATGAAATATTTCTGGTTTTTTTTGGTCCCCTTCTGCTTCAGAGGGAGCTGGATCTAGAATACTGCTGTCTGTACCTTGCCTTCTGACRCTGTGCAAAATGTCTTGATTTTTAGAGAAGGTAACAGGATCGCTGATCCATGTAGGGCACATGTGGGATTTGGGGCCTTGGGCTTTGCTGACCAGTCATGTCAGACTCCTGAGAATAGCTGAATTCCAAAGGGAGGAATAGAAATAATGAAGATATTCAGAAGGGAGAGTTTTCTTCAGAAGGTAACATATCCTCTGCCCAATATAAAGATACCACAACTATTTATTTATTATTAAAGGAACATTCAAAGCAGAAGTGAAAGATGCCTGGGGGAGAGATGGATTGTGCCTGGTTAGTAGAAGAGGAAGTGCTAATAACAGCACAACAGATTTCTCGTTCATGTGAGAAACAGAAAATTTATTTCTTTATGCTGCAAACATTTCTGACAGTTGAGGCGTCTTTCTAGAAAGGCCATTAGTAATCAGAAGTTCTCTGGAATACAAGGATGTATATCTTTGGCTTATAATTAATAATGTAAGAAAATAGTTCACAAACTCTGCACTCCCTGTGACCTAATGCAGTAATTTTAGAGYGTAAGAAATATCTTAGGCCACTCTGTTCATTCTTCCTTTCAAATACAATTTAAAACATACTCTTAAATAGCAACAATTTTTTGGTTACATGGAC